CAAAGTTGTTGTATTTCCTCAGCGACCAGCACGGATCAGCTCTAGGCATGACGAAGCGGATATCATCCTCTTTTGGAAGGCCAAACAAAGTAGTTTCGCTTTCACAACTAAACACAGAGCATCTCCACAACATGGCGCCGGCGGCAACAACAATACTACAGTGAGAATAAAAGTTACGCCTTCTTTCTTTGCGTGACCATTTGGGCGGTGTAATGCAAATCTTCCCACACAGTGACGTAGATATGTGGGGGCGTGTTTAAACGAGCCATTTTAGGAGGGCGTGGACAAGTCTTAACTTTTATAAAGAATATCTCTTTGGATTTGAGACTTTAGTCTTTGCAACTTTACAGATCTTCTTTATGCACCAAGAGCTTGTAACACTCCAAAGAGAAAGGACAAATTGAAATCGCATCATATGACCCCTTTAAAGTCACAATGTGACTGTTATATGATTTTTATAAAAAGCCAACCTAGATTTTGGCATTTTTATAAAAAGGCAAGGTTAGTTCAGATCAAACAGTAATCCCAAGAAAACTTTGTGATAAGAATTCATTATAAAATCAAATTAAACCAACACGAATACAAAGATTACATTTATAAGAATTCGGCATTTGTGTTTCGAACTAGATTTTTAAAAGATTTCTTGATCTCAAACTCTTAGACATCATTATTTGTAAATGACCTGGAACAGACTTTGAGATCACGTCAACATTCCAGTTCTGAACTTCAATAATAAACTATACATTCAAATATCACTTAATAGATAATCTTTCTCTCTAAAATGCTTCTCTAAAAACACTTTTAGAGACACCAGCACTTTTTTTTTTTAAGCGACACTGCAACATGTTTACAGTTTGTCCCCAGATTGCCAGGGCACTGAAAAGCTTACTGAGTTTCAAGAGAACTCCTCTCTGCTCAGTTAAGCTGGGCCTTAGCTAGTCTGTCTCAGTATGCCACATGTCAGAGGGATTGATGGTCTGCCTCAATCCACTCGGAGTGGGACACAAGCCTCGTCTGTCTCTAGCCATCAGATGCAGATGGCACAGCTAATGGTGGCATCAGTCAGTGACAGGAAACATGGGAGGAACAAGCAGAGAGAGAGAGAGCAAAGAAAAAAACAAGACTACGGTGGTAATATATTTTAAGCCAGATATGCTACATAGCCTTGCATTTAAAACCAGACTGTGAAAAGAATGAACCTATTAATTTTTAATTAACATGGCAACACACAAGACCAAACAATAATATGCACCATAAGGTTGATAAGTAATGGATAATTGTGCAATCAGATGGTTATGATAAAAAATAAGCCTATTCAGGGTGATAAAGGGTAATATTAAAACAAAAATGATTATACAAAAAATTATAATAATAACAATAATAATAAATGTACTATTTATTTTATTTAGATATGTTATAATAATAATAATAATAATAAAAATAATTTATTATTACTTTATTTAGATGTATTTTTATTTTATTATTTTTATTATAATAATAATAATAAAATAAATTTAATTATAAAAGTACCTCTATATAATAATAATAATAATAATAACAATAACAATAACAATAATAATACATCTCACAGAATAAACAGTGGTTTTCATCCACTAGTCTGCCTTGTATGCACATTAGATTACATCAGTTTGACACAGATAGTGGACAGACTGTGGCTCCATCTCAAGCGTTAGAATTGTGTAATTGATCCTAAACACTGGATGTGATGTGGTGGGCCTCCTAACTATGCCATATGTGGCACAGCTGTCCAGTGAAGAGTGTAATTAATAAACACATTGGTCATTTGGAGGCACAGCCAGTAGAAAAGCTGGTGACTAATGGATGCTGAATGGAACTGAGAGCCAGTGTAGTCTCTCTCTCCATTGGCTGAAATCGAAATGACACACGAAGCCTCTCTCTACTGTACACACTGTATATCCTTTTTTCATCCTCCTACAGGCAGAGGATTTATGAGAGCCCACAGATCCCTGAGTGTTTCCTGCTCATTTTTGGCAGGTCGCTATTGTGCTGTAAACAGGTCAGAAACCTAAAATGCACAGCAAAGCACTGCATCATAGAAACCTAATGCAAGAATGAACACAGACATGAATACAAATATGCAGACAGTGTGATAACAGCATTCTCAAACTCACTGCTTTCACTTGGCTGCTTCTGTAAAGCTCCTTTTACAAAGTCACAGACAGACACGTACACATTCTTCTGCCTTATTTTTAGGTCAATTACCCCTGTAAGCAAGTAGGCGGTGAGCACTGATGTGCAGTGCAAGACTGTGAGTGTCCGGCTCTTTCAAACGCCTGCCCTGATCCTCCAGCCACACGCAGTCATCTCCGACAGATCTCCTCATATATCAACACCCTCCTGGAGTTTTTGAAACATTTTAGTGCTTCGTGTGTGCATGTCTGTGTTTGTGTGTCTAACACGTACCTTTAGCTGTTATGGCAGGCTGTTCCCCCAGCAGAAGTTTGAGCCTCTTAGCATGGATCTTGCCTTGGTAATGAGACTGCGCTACCACCGCTGAAGTAAAGGACATGTTACACAGTGTACAGCACTTGTTTTTATCCACATCTCCCTCCTCATTCCCCTGCAACACATCAGACACATTTATCACGGTCAGAATGTCAGACAGAGCAAGGGCATGGGGTTGAAAGAGGAAATCAAGAGCTTAGCACAACATTTCTCGCAGCAGATTTTTTTCCTCCTAACCCCGGAGGTCAAACCCCCCATCAGCGCTTGAGGGTAAATGAGCTACAAATGTAACAGAGTGAAGAATGAGAGCGAGAGGGGTAGAAATGTCTCGGCTACTTTGGGATTGCTTATGTGGTTCCTGGTGGGATGCAAATGGAGGTGATTTACCAGTAATGGGGCCAGTTTGATTGAAATATCACAGGCAGAAATTGAGGAGTTCACCCACTGCCTGCTGTAAGACCTATTTCATATTTTACATCAAATACGCAGAGCCGATCCTCCCTATATGCAAAATACGCAAGCTCCGTTGGGCCCCCGAAACACCAGGGGGCCCCCTTGCTCTCAAAGATGATTTAATTTTAGTTTAATTTTTTAAATTGGCCAGCGGTTATGAAAACATGAATAATCATTTCTTTTAATGCGGTGCACTGTCACCCTTTCTACGTAAAAATCAGTCAAATCATGTAACGTGAATGTCGTACAGTCTTGCTCAAGACTAAAAAAACGAGTTGAAAGCGTACCGAGCCGCGGAAGAGACACTGGTTCTCAAACGCTTTCCACAAGCGCGATTCGAGACAGAGTGAAACACGTAAATGTTTCATTCATTCGTTCATAACCACTCATACCACACTCAACCCCCCCCCCCGAAACACGGACAAATGCGTTTCATTCATTCGTTCATAACCACTCATACAACATAGTTTTGCGTAGGGCCCCCAGAAGTCTAGGATCAGCACTGCAAATACAAGGTGTGAAATCTGGGGAGTAGAGGTCTTCTCGGGTCCTAAAATCTGTACCCAACCCGAATCGACCCAAATCACTTCTTACCCGAACCCAACATGCATTAAAATGAAAAAAATAAAAATAAAAACCCGACCCGAGACAGACCCGATGAAATTAGACCCGAGTTCGACCCGACCCAATGGCATTTATTTTCGAACCCGACTGGACCCAAACATAAACGGCATTGAAGTGTGCACAGTCTGCAGCCCCACAGTCAGTAAAGAAAAATCCCGACGTCTTGCAGACTGATTTGTCCACTTCTCCATTACTTTGATTTATTTACCAATTATTTAATTTATTGTTACTTTATATTATTGCCTACTTGATGGATACAAGTTATTTATGAGTTCGGCTTTCAGTTGTGACCAGTGGATTTGGAAAATAAACGTGATAGTTTGATAAAAATTAAATCGATAGCCGTTGTCTGCAACCTAATCTCCGGCGAAAGGCTTCTGCCCTGCATGAACACGCAGCATAATGAAGCGAGTGGATTTTTATAAGATATCTATAAGATGATTTCATTGCAAGATTATAAACGTACACTCCTTTTCTATGTGCGTTCCTCACTTAACATGAATGTACAAGTACACATCCGGGATAGTTTAAAAGAATTCGGGTCTTATCGAGTCCATTTGGAAAAAGCACATTTATTTTAAATTACCTGTGACCCGAGGTCGCTAATACCGAACCTGACCCGTGTCCGAGGCACTTGTAGAAATTTTGTGCCCAAACCCGCTCGGGTCGGACTTTGGGTTTTCGGATCCAAGAGGACCCATGAAGACCTCTACTATGGAGCCTTTTCAGTTTATTTTCCCGGTGATACATTCATCAGTATATGCTTGGGCTGGAGATCCAATATAATTCACTTTTAGGGTTTCTCGCCTATACCAAAAAGCCAGCAATTACTGAACATTAGATATAAAAGTTCTATACAATATTGTGTGCTAAAAAAAAAAACTAAAAATAAATCTAATTTTAAATGCCAATTTTAAGTCTATTAAGCATATTAGCGTAATAATGTATACTACAATTGAGGCATATAGATGACAATTAACAGTGTTAATAAATTATTAGTGTTATTAAATATTATTTTGAAGTTATTTAGCATTTTTAAATTTATAAAAAATTTCTTGTTTATTATTCCAAATAAACACTGTGCTTATAAATATAATGATTTGTTTCTTGAGCACCAAATCAGATTAGAATGATTTCTGAAGGATCATGTGACCCTGAAGACTGGAGTAATGGCTGCTGAAAAATTCAGCTTTACCATCTCAAAAATAAATTACATTTTAAAATATATTAAAATAGAAAACACTTAAAATTGTAATATTATTTCAACATATTACAGTTTACTGATCATGAATAAATAAAACATAGCTGCACTGTATTATCAAATGATAACTAGAATTCTGCCCTCTACAACACACCTGATTGATATCCCAACTGTTACCTTGGATGAACCAACGCCAATATCCCAAAAACAGAATTAAGGTGACAAACCTGATGAAATGTCTTTATTTTTTTGTTCATTACGCCTACTTTTCTCTCTTCTAAAAGAAAAGAACTGAACTAAAAACGCATGAATACTCAGAACATATCAAACAATCTGTAATAACAGACAAAGCAACAGTGACCACATAATAAAAGCAGTTACTCACACTTGTGTGGTGCGACATTACTGTCGGATCCAATATAGTAAGCACAGCATTGTCTTTTAGTTTCAATCTTTCTGAAAATCCTGTGTCGAATTGTGCCTTGTTTGTAAACGATCTTCTTTTGTGGAGACGGTGTTTAGCCACACTATTACATCATAAAGTGGCACATTCCACAACCTGTCATTTTGGCAGATTTTCTTTGTGTGTGTGTTCCATAAAGCAGAGTACATTTTTGTGAACAATGAAAGATCTCAGTTCAGCAATGCTTTTGAGGCTTGCAGGCAGTAGTTGCTGGTGAAAGCGCTCTGGGTCTTTGCAGAGATTGCTTTAGTGTAAAACCTTTTGAGGATTAATTCTGTTTACACAGTATATATGGTTGTATGGCTGTGCAGCGTGGCTATTGCTTCATGGCTTCAGAATGCTCAAAACCAAATGTTACTAGCACAATGTGCTTTTAACTGGAGTACATTTATTTATTTTATTTTATTTTATTTATTGGTTTATTTAATAGGGACCATGCATATTCAAGAACGTTGTTGTATAAATATACACCATGTAAATATGCCAGAATTAGTAACAATAACTACTTTTCATCTGCAGTCCCTAGGCAGGTAACATAAAACTAACATAAGGACAGCCAACAATAATACAACATTCATTCACTATAAATGTAAATTTATATAAATTTATGGATTATTCACTTATATTTTTATTGTTTACTACTTATTTCCTCCAGCAAGAATGGAAGTGTCCTCTTTGTGACAGAACACAATGATAAAGGAAAAAAGGTCAGAGAACTCATGACTTATGGCGCTTTTCCACTGCGTGGTACGACTCTGCTCGGTACGGCTCAGTAAGGCACGGTACGGCTCGGCTCGGTTTGCATTTCCACTGCAGTTCAGTACCACTTTAGAGTGGGTGGGATTATTCACATGTCGTTAGTTGTGCCGCCTATACTGCCGCGACTCCTGAAAAACTTTTTCATTCCGCGTCGCCCCATCAAGCTCTCGCTGGATCCAATCCTCTGCTATCAATGAGAGGAACGTCTGTACTTCCTCAACAGACAACGAAACAACCACTTTTTAGTTGTTAAAAAAAGGTGCGCTCGTTCAAAACAGTTGCGTTCGATCCTTCGCTGGCTGTGCGGATTTAAATCTAGCGGTTCTTTTGTGTTTGTGTCGCAAGTTCAGTGACGCAGGTAGTGACGGTTCTCTCCGGCCAATCCGTGATCAGCAGAGTTTACACGTCACGTTTTGGTAACAGTACGGTTCACTTGGAACCCCAACCGAGGTGGTACTAAAAAAAGTACCAGGTACCAGGTACTGTACCCAGTGGAAAACCCCCCAAAAGTGAACCGTACCGAGCCGTACCGTGCCATGCAGTGGAAAAGCACCATTAGTCTGATCTGTGTCTCCATGTGAAGATGCTATGCCAACCATGGCAAGCACAGTGCTGTCAGTTCACATCTCATCAGTTAGGTTCCAACAGATACTTCAAAACCCAGATACTTCCCCATATTTGAAAGATACATTAGATATTAGCTTTTAAAGACATGCAATATCTATATTAAGGCTATAATTTTTTGGAAGATGGTTTCAAATCTGCATCACCCACAACAGCGCCACAGTTTAACATCTCAGTACTGGTTCTGACAAGGCTAAAGTTTAAATACCATGACAGAAGAAAACTGATTGACAGGTTTCATTTTCATTCACATGTCATGTGTAAGCTCAGCGGTACACAGGGTTGGGAGGGTTACTTTTAAAATGTATTCCGTTACAGTTACAAATTACTTCATTAAAAGATTATTCAGTACCGTAATCCAAGTACCACAATATAAAAGTAATGTAATCTGATTACTTTTGGATTTCTTCAAGTTACATATGTAAATAAAGTTAAAAAAGCAATATCTAAGTACTTTTATTTAACTATGACTTTAAAATTAAAACTAATAAAAACTATAGTAAAAACTGAAACTATATTTGAAACTATTTAAAATCATGTCTTTTTTCACCATCTAGACATTACAGCCCATATATATTTTTATATAAAAGGCTATGCAGACATCTAAGTATTACAGTTTTATTTTTATTATTATTTTTTTGTTTCTTTAACGTAGTAAAAATCAAATTACTTCATTAAAAGAGTATTCAGTACCGTAATCCAAGTACCACAATATAAAAGTAATGTAATCTGATTACTTTTGGATTTCTTCAAGTTACATATGTAAATAAAGTTAAAAAAGCAATATCTAAGTACTTTTATTTAACTATGACTTTAAAATTAAAACTAATAAAAACTATAGTAAAAACTGAAACTATATTTGAAACTATTTAAAATCATGTCTTTTTTCACCATCTAGACATTACAGCCCATATATATTTTTATATAAAAGGCTATGCAGACATCTAAGTATTACAGTTTTATTTTTATTATTATTTTTTTGTTTCTTTAA